ATTCTATTCTATTCTATTCTATTCTATTCTATTCTATTCTATTCTATTATTATGTAAATACACTGCTCAAAAAAATAAAGGGAACACTTAAACAACACAATGTAACTCCAAGTCAATCAACACTTCTGTGAAATCAAACTGTCCACTTAGTTAGCAACACTGATTAACAATCAATTTCACATGCTGTTGTGCAAATGGAATAGACAACAGGTGGAAAGCATAGGCAGTTAACAAGACATCCCCAATAAAGGAGTGGTTCTGCAGGTGGTGACCACAGACCACTTCTCAGTTCCTATGCTTTCTGGCTGATGGTTTGGTCACTTTTGAATGCTGGCAGTGCTTTGACTCTAGTGGTAGCATGAGACGGAGTCTACAACCCACACAAGTGGCTCAGGTAGTGCAGCTCATCCAGGATGACACATCAATGCAAGCTGTGGCAAAAAGGTTTGCTGTGTCAGTGTCCAGAGCATGGAGGTGCTACCAAGAGACAGGCCAGTACGTCAGGAGACGTGGAGGAGGCCATAGGAGGGCAACAACCCAATATCAGGACCGCTACCTCCACCTTCAACTTTCTGCTGCCTGCAACATCCTCCAGCATGACCGATTTGGCAGTGGATCAGTAATGGTATGGGGTAGCATTTTTTTAGGGGGCTGCACAGCCCTCCATGTGCTCGCCAGAGGTAGCCTGACTGCCATTAGGTACCGAGATTAGATCCTCAGACCCCTTGTGAGACCATATGCTGGTGCGGTTGGCCCTGGGTTCCTCCTAATGCAAGATAATGCTAGACCTCATGTGGCTGGAGTGTATCAGCAGTTCCTGCAAGATGAAGGCATTGATGCTATGGACTGGCCTGCCTGTTCCCCAGACCTGAATCCAATTGAGCACATCTTGGACATCATGTCTCACTCCATCCACCAACACCACATTGCACCACAGACTGTCCAGGAGTTGGGGGATGCTTTAGTCCAGGTGTGGGAGGAGATCCCTCAGGAGACCATCAGCCACCTCATCAGTAGCATGCCCAGGCGTTGTAGGGAGGTCATACAGGCACATGGAGGCCACACACACTACTGAGCCTCATTTTGACTTGTTTTAAGGACATTACATCAAAGTTGGATCAGCCTGTAGTGTTTTTTTCCACTTTAATTTTGAGTGTAACTTCAAATCCAGACCTCCATGGGTTGCTAACTTTGATTCCATTGATAATTTTTGTGTGATTTTGTTGTCAACACATTCAACTATGTAATTAACAAAGTATTTAATGAGAATATTTCATTCATTCAGATCTAGGATGTCTTATTTTTGTGTTCCCTTTATTTTTTTGAGCAGTGTATATTTATTGATTGTATATTTCTGACACAAGGGAAGCTCAAGTTTAGATTAACATAATATTCCAGAGGCACATATTGCTCTGATTCTAATTGTTGAGCAGTCTAAATTGGTACATATGCAATTTATCCAGATATCACTGTTAATGAAAGTGCTTAAACCAATAACATTAAAATAATCATAACGGCACTCTATAATAGTTAATAAAACATTTCTAACACTTGAAATATATATGTGGATGACTAATAGAAAATCAGAAGAGTTGAACCTGTGACACATTGCAGGCTAGAATCAGTATTGCAAATTAATTCTGCTCACAGTCTTAAATTCGATCTTGGCCATCTCAAGGTTGACTCAGTCCTTCCAAAGTTGGTAAAATGAGAACCTAGATTGTTGGGGGCAATAAAATGACTGTAAACCGCTTAGAGGGCTGTAAAGCACTATGAAGTGGTATATAAGTCTAAGTGCTATTGCTATCTGTATTTTTGTCTCAGATTTTCAGTACCAATTAATTCATTATTTTTATTATCTTGCACTTTTTTTTCAAAACTAGTTTGTAGAATTAACACAATACAATGAAATTACCCTCTGATCTATTGGTGCCAAACCCGGACTGCCTTCCAGTTTTCTTTTTTCTTCAGAAACATGGTTTGAGATACCACAATCATATTCTACTTCAGGTTTAGCCAAATCACGGCAGAATGTACAAATCCATTCACCACTGGGGGGGGAAAAATGAAGAAAGAAGATTGACATAAGCTTCCCATTTTTGCATTCTGAATGTTTGCAAGCTTTAATACAATGAAGCCAATGATGGAGAAATTACTTTGTTCAATTTTGAGTTTCTCCGTCAATCAGATAGAGAATCCCCAACCACTGAGATGGTAGGTATTAAAATAGTTATCCTTAAAGTCAATACAATTACTTTTGAGTTGAATCTTCTCAAATGAAACTGAAAGTCACAAAAAGTCAGACTGACCTGTTTCCTAAATGGTTACTTCATGGCTTTGATAGTGTTTTATGGGAAAGAATAAGACAGAAAACTAGAATGTTCTTACTATGCCACTCTCCACTTGCACCCCCCCTCCTCCTCCCAAGACTACAATAATCCATATCTTTTCTGCAATGGTCCTCTGTATATAGTTTTCTCTTTTCAAAGCAGGAGAAAGAGAGCTATCTAGATAGCAGAAAAAGCTGGTAAGGGCCATTCCCAACTAGCTTTAACAAAACTATTTTCTTAGTAACCCTTAGAAAACAAAGTATTGGTTATCAGTGGGTATTACAATTGTTGCCCTTATATCACATTTCTATACCATCCAACACACTTGCTCGCCCACACCTGTTGAAAGAAAGCACCCAAAACAATACCATGGATATCTTTGGGATTTGATTTACAGCTCTTAATGATTAACAGCATTATAGGGAAAGTACAGATCCAACAGAAATATAACTACCTACTTAAAGTCTGTTATTTAGCTGTATAATATCTGAAGTTGGAAAAAATATTGACAGTTGATTTTTTAAGCAGCATTCTGTAACAAAAAACAAAGCCACTACTCTAGATTTGTTTGTTATACTTTAAAATTGGAACAAATACAGATGTTGCATCCTGGTGCATTTATCAGCCTAGAAGATAAATATGAACAGGAGCTAAATATTGGAAAACATTCCACAGTGGTATCTTGCTTTATACATCCAGACGAAACCTGACACTGCCGATTCCAGCTTAGCTTTAAAATCAGATGCAATCATTTAAATAATGTTTAAGTTCATGCCATAGAAGAGCATGACTTTAGACTTTACCTTGGAAAATTCCTGAGTGTAGGAACATGACATGAAAGGTGGAATACTTTGGGACACTTATCACAACACAAAAGTTCTCCTCCATTCTGACATACTGCACACCAATCCTCGTTAGGATCATCATCTTTTCTGCCATCTCCACCATGTGGAGATCCTATCCATGTTGCCTTGCCATTGGATGTCTGGTCACCTGTACTGTCTGGTGCTTCTGTTCTCAACACTGATGCTTCAGAGGAGAGGCTGCTATTCAGTAACACTGAGGAAAGAATGGCTCTTGGAAACCTGGACTGTAGACAAAAAATGTCTAATTTCATCAAAATGAAGTATCTTTTTTGCATACATATTAATATGTACATAGAGAATCATGCCTCTTTGACAAATTATACATATTATCTAGCCAGTTGATTCAGCTGAATATATCCTTATCAAGAGTATATTATATCAAAGATTTTTTTAAAAAGCCACCAAGATTATTAAATATTTTTCATCATAGCCTTATATAAAATGCTTCTGTGGAAAGGAAACAGCTCCCCTTCCACATAATCTTCCTGCCTCAATCAGGACCAAAGTTTTAAAAACAAATTTGTTTTTAAACAAATTGAAAATGCAATGGGAAACACAAATGTAATTGGGTGAATATTCTGTCCTGTCTGATCTAAACCTTAAGAACTTTTTGCTAAAATAAGGAAAAAGCTGCTTTCCTCAAAGAGATTTCAATGAACAAATGCTAACATCACAACTGAACAGGGTGTTTGTCTACAAAGCAGCAGTGGCTAAATGCACTTTCTTGGAATTTCTAGAGGGCATGCTTTTCTGTATTTTTGAGGAATAAAGCAAGGTTTTGCTATATAAAGGCCTTGCAATGAAAGGCTCATCATATCTGCCTCTGATGACTTTTGGGCCTTTTGGCCATAAATAAAATTAACTGATTGATACTGTGCTCTCCAAATAACCGTCATTCTTTATTCAATTAACTGGCTGCCTTCTTTATTCCTGAATTGGAAATGAACCTGGTAAGATTTCTTTGTTAGTGCCCTTTTGTATTTAAGACTATTTTTCATAATTGTGATTACATTTTGATTACGGGATTCTTCATCTGTTTCTTGCTTCACTATGACAACTGGGAAATCATAGTTCTCACTTGGTACACCAGACTCTTGTTTTATTCTGATAGGCTCTAACATGACCACAGGGACTCTCTGGGTTGAATCTGCACCTGATGGTTTGCCAGAAGAAGTAGAGCTATAAATGAAATATACAGAAAAAAAGAAAAGATACACTAGATTATTAAAACAGGTTTTGCAGGTTTTTAATCAGAGCACAATAATGCTGCTTTCAGAAATTATTGCTTGCATAAGGTGGGAAAAATCAATCTGTGCCCTAATTGTTCATGGTTCAATCTTGATAACACAAAACCTGATTAATGTAGTAGTCTGGGTGAAATTGTGTATTTTCAAAAACATTAAATGTTTTTGCATACATTTCAACTACACTGAATACATTTCAACTACAAAATTAAAATGGGTGTATTATCATACAAAATGATAAAAGGATAATAATTTCCTTAATTGTCTATATGTATTTTTTCTTCATCTAGGTAAAATATTTTCTTTTTTAAAGCCTAATTTTTAAATATTTAAAATCTAACCTTTCCAAAGAGTCATCATCTGAGCTCTTTTTAATTAACAATACTTCTCTTGTTTTTTGTAGAATCAATATAACATTTATCTTCATATCATATGTCTCCTTTGCAGAAATTATGTTTTGTGTATTTTTAACTTGTATACTTATCCCTATCAGCTTAATATATATTGCTGGCTACTGATGGATGTTCCTGTTTCTTGGTCATATTGGTTCAGGAATTCTTAAAAATATAGTCCCACACCCCAATCTTTAGGGAAGATTGTGCTAATCCACATAACTTTTTTTTTACCAGAATCCGTATTTACTAACATGGTCTGCTTACCTGCTTCGACTTCCTACACTAGAGGCACTGGGTGAACGCATTGGAGGATGGACACCAGAGGCAGTAACCAACCCTAAATCATCAGGGGGAAAATCGTCAGGTTAGAAAGAAATCCTTCCATAATACCTATGAATATTTGAAAAACATATTAAACTGCATTTTAAATATTAGTAAATTATCTATTCTTTATTATTATTTACTTAAAACTGAGAAACAAACGCAAATATCCATTCTTCAGCATTTCAAAAAACAAAAACTTCAAGTGGCCAAGATGAAGGATTGTTTCATTTTTTTCAAAAGCTTTTATTTTTCTTTTCATGCTCTAGCTGCTAATTTAAAAAAAAAATTATAATCAGCATTGCCTTCCTCATTGCCATAATCCTCCCCATTTTAGTTGTGGTTTTCTACTTAAGCTAAGAATCTCTACCTTATATATGCATTTAATTCTATATACAGTTAAAATTCTTTATCTTCTCTTTTATTATTACTATATTGTATTTTTTTTAAAAGGAGCTGTACAAATCTTTCTATAACTTTCTTTTCACTATAGTTATTTGGCAACCAGCAAAAGCGTTATTTCTGCACTAGATATATTCTTTCCATGTGATTATGTATTTTCACTAATGTTCTCCTTCCCAATGCTTTGGATCTTGTTTGTGTCTAACAGTGTAATAATTTTAAAATGATAATAGCTGTCATACCAGAAAGTCCTGGAGATGGAACTGAAGAGTTAGGAGACTGTACAGTTTTGCGTGAAGATTGTTTGGTTTGGATGTGCTCTGCAAATGCCTCTCTCTTCCCAATACTTTCCAATGGAACACTTCCTGAACATTCAATCTTAATACAATGAGAGACAGTAAGGATTTTAGATAGGAAAACATTATCTCACTACTTTTCAAGAAAAAGGAATTACAGTTTCCTTTAATAAGAAGCCTTGTGTTGAAAGTTAGGGGTGTTTGGGACAGAAGACTTACAGGAAATAGAAAGTTAAAGGCTATATAGATGCAAGCTCTTAATTGGCTGGAAAAGTCATTAAGAACATAAACACATTGGAAATTAATCACTAATATAACTGAAAAGGATTAGAATCGTGATGCCGAACCTATAGCACGCGTGCCACAGGTGGCACGCAGCACCATTTGTGCAGGCACACGAGCCCCAACCAAACTTACCTGCACTGCGCATGCACGCACCTCCCAGCTTATTTTTGGCCCGTTTGAAGCCATTTTGCCCTCCCAAAAATACCAGAAGTGCCGAAACGGGCCCGTTTTTTGGCCTCCAAAGGCTGCAGAGGCTCCCCTCGAGCCTCTGGGAGGGTGAAAACAGCCTCAAATGGGCCAAAAATCAGTGGGAGGCACGCACATGCACAGTGCAAGTAAGGGGGTGGGGTGTGTGTTGCGGGCACATGCACAAGGTGCATTGCATTGTGGGTGCCGGGATGCACGCACTTTCAGCACACCACAACAAAAAGGTTTACCATCACTGGATCAGAATATTAAAAAGACATTTCTAGAATGTGCTGTAAAAAGAAGCCACTACTTTATGTACTAGCTCTACTTTAATCCCAAACCATATGGCATAACTCCACCAAGTTTTGTATTAGAATAAAGCAGCATGCTGGAATAATAAACCTTTTTAAAAAGACAAAAAATATAGCCTTATCTCACATCTGGTAAAGAAGGCAAGGTACAGAAACCACTCATTGTTGAATTAAGTTCAATCATAGATGGAGCAAAAGTCTTCCCATTGTTTCCAGCAACACTATGAGTAGTGGGACTGGACGGAGTTGAAGTTGTACTGCTAGCACTCGATGAAGTAGCCAAAACTTGACCGCTGTGGATCTGCCACTAGAAAAAGGGAGAGGAGGAAATAATTTATTTCCTAATTCATGTACAGAGATATTAAAACTGCATGGAACATTGTGGATAAGGATTAATAGAACTCTGCTTAATTATTATTAAAGTTGGTAAGAGTATCTCTGAAATAAAATGCAACAATTATTCCAAATAAGCAATATACAAGCAAGCCAATAAAACCAAAAATGTGCCTCCTTTCCAATAATATAACTATTGAGCTGACTAATTTATCATTTTCTAGATAGCAAAACAGATTTGATAACATATTTTAACTAGTATAATATCACATGGGGAATGTACCTGTTTAATGGCTTGCTGTGCCAAAATTGCAATCTGTAGTGGAGATGGCTTTACAGATGCATGTGGTATGCTTTGATTTTGAGGAAACCTCACTGGCTGAGCCAGAGGAACTGGTCCTATGGATTTGAAACTGTGATTCTGATAGTTTACCAAACGTGGAGGTGGCTGCTGCAAAGACAAAAGCAACATTCTTAGCTAACAGGTAATTAGTTACAAAACACATTTTCCTAAATGTTGGGGAAAGAAATTATAAAAGATAAGTCATTTTGGAGGTGGTATTCATTCCCAACATAAAGCAGTGCAGCCTGAAAAATGAAGAGTTTCACAATCTGTTTAAAGGGGAAAAGATATACAGGAGCCTAAAAAAAGGAGCAGCTTAAATGTATTAATATTTTAGGAACTTTAGAGGGGCCAGGGGCTCTGTTGAGGTAATTCCCCGTTAGGAGAATGAGTGCACACAGGGAGACGTAGAGAGTGGTGAAGAATAACACGCAACCAGCACAGATATACTGTATAGTAAAATGTAGGTTTTTACTTTCAGTAAACGGTTAAGCAAAGTTCAACAAGCAGTCCAAGTCATTCACAGTTAAACCAGTCAGTTTTCAGTCCAGGAATAATCCAAATATCAAAGTCCAGTATCAAAAACAGTTCAGTAAAAGACTCACATCAAATCCAAGAATAACTATGATCAGCAACAGTCAATAGGGAAATGCAGGAATGGCAACAATCTCCAGAACAGGACAGAACAACCCAGGTTTCTGGCTCCATCTTATAGCCGTTTGAGGAACCACACCCAATTACAATTTTAGCATTCCCTTAAAGAGACAGTATTAAAATGTCTATCCTGGTTTATATATTTTCCAACCCAACTGTTAGGTGACTAACAGGCTCCTTGAATAAGAAAAAATAATTCTGGCAGTTATACAGTGTGGCAAAATGTGTAATAATGTTTTTGATGCCTCCTTGCAAACTTTACCTTTTTCCCTTGAATAAAGTAGAAATAGCTAAATGTTTTCTACTCTGGACTTGCCCTAACTTACCTGAGGAGGTGGAGGAGGTGGTAGTGGTGGTGGTGGAGTCTGGTGCACGGGCCCTGTAATTCTAGCTTCTGGGAGCCCCACAGGACCTGGCCTCCGCTGTGCCTGTTGCCTCTGAGCAAGCACTTGTTGCTGCATGTGCTGAAGTCGAAGTTGAGCTAAACTGATCTGCGTTGGGAACTTGGATAGTTGATTTGAAGGTAAGCCACTTTGTGGCTGTATGTTTGGTTCCGTCACAGGGCTTTTAGGCATATGTGGTGGGATTTCACTATCTTCAATTACCAAAGAACCTGAATAAAGATAATTATATTTATAAAGTTACAATTTTACTACAGAAAATATCACAATAATAGCTATTCGTTCTCGCATCAGTCATTGACAGCCCTCTATGTTAAACACCATTTGTTAATCTGAAACTACTTTGTTAGAACATGATTTAATTGCCTGAAACAATATAAATGCATTAAGGTATTGGCCAGGCATCTACAAACTGCCAGGTACCGGTAGTCCTTAACTGACAACAGTTAAGGTAGTCCTTAACTGACAACACTGTCTGAAGTTACAACAGCACTGAAATAAGTGACTATGTCCACTTTTCACACTTACAACCACTGTAGCATCCCTATGGTCACTGATCAAAACTCAGATGATTGGCAATGACTCATATTTATGAGGATTGCACTGTCCTGGGGTCATGTGATCACCTTCTGTGACTTTCTGAACAGCGAAAGTTGATGGGGAAGCCAGATCACTTAATGACCAGGTTATTGGTAATTTAATAGCAGTACTTCACTTAAAAACTGTGGCAAGAAAATCATAAAATGTTGGCAAAATTCATTTAACAACTGTCCCACTTAGCAACAGAAATTTTGAACTCTGTTGCAGTCATAAGTGGAAGGCTACCTGTATATATTTTATAAACATCCAATTAATATGGCACTCTATTAAATTATCTATTTCCCTATAACATCACTTCAATTGACAAAGTTGTACTCTTTGGGATACATAGTTGTAAGTCAAGAATCCCCAATCCCCAGGCTGTGGCCCACTACCAGGCCTTGAGCCTTTCGGAACCGGGCTGGGCAAGCATGTGCATCCCCACTGGCGTGAGTAGTGGGTGTATATGCCCGCTCTCATGCAAATGGAGTTGCATGTGTGTGTGCTTGTCCACTGCACATGCGGAACCATCCCCCTGCCAGTCCACAAAGCCGAAAAGTTTGGGGAACTCTGTTGTAAATAACTGATGCACTAAACTATGATGATGTGCATAGCTGGAAAACCTGTAGCCAACTGAGACATTGTAACACCTACAAATAGAGCAAAACAATATGAGTGTACCAGAACACACACAAAGAATGCACGCTGCCACATACAATTTTATCTTCATATCAGATTTCCCAGGGTAGCAATAGAATGGAGGGCAAACCAAAATGAAAAGTGTGTATCATTACTCAAGAGATGGTATCTTGAGTTCAATAAAATGTGTACTTATTTCAAAAAGTATTTAAAATAAATCAAATACAATTATTTAATGTGATAAACACATCAAGTAATATCAAGTTTCTATTAACAAAAACAAATGGAATTCATCATACCTAAGTTGAAAATATTTTGGGCCCAGAAACTAGGATCACAGTGAAATTGAATGGTAGTATTAGATACTGGTAAGGCATCACACCTTGCCCTAAGGAGGTATCGTAATCGGTATATAATCTAGAAAAAGAATAAGATTATATTAATATTAAACTATCTCTGAATCACAGAACATTACACATGGCTCATAACTGGTGACATATGGGCAATAGCCTACTGGTCACTATACATTAAATGATCTAGTAATTTTCATGGGACCATCTATTGACACTCAAGGAATATGAAATTTGGAATGTTAACAGGAATATAAGGTAAAGAGCCTGAATTAATGAATGAAAAAAAAGTTATTTTGTTAAATTTGTAGACACACTCTGATTTCCAATAATTCTATTGGGCATTTTTGAGAAAGATTTTAAGAGAAAGATGTAACCAATCTGAATAAATGATCTGATTTTATGCAGTGCAACTGAAGAATACAGAGAGGGAAATGAAAGTTTAGGTTTAAAATTATGAATGATTAATAAAGAGAAAAGCTGGGTCACCTAGATTATTCTTGAATGCATCAGTTCCTATTTTCATGCACACTACAATAATCAGATTACATATTTGAACTGTTGCATGATAGTTATAGTGAATACTATATTCCAATGAATTGTGATCATGAAAGTATCAGGAATGTGTTTTGGGGGGAAAAGTAAACAACATTCCAAATGAATGTGATGCAGGAAAAATCATTCTGTTAAAAGACACAAATGGATGAGTGAGAAGGCAAGTGTAGAAGACTAATTTGGAAAATCAAGAATGACAATGGTGGTTGTTTGGGCAAATAATTGCTCTGAAACAGGCCTGTTTACTTTAAAAATGTCATTTAAGCATAGATCATGGTGCTCAAAGCTCTATTGGATCAGAGCAGCATATAAACCCAAATAAATTAAAACAAGTGCATACATGGCAACACTAAATGGATCTAAAAGTGCACCTAAATTGATTATTTATGATAATATAGTGAACTAAAAGCTCTGAGTGTGGGACAGGCCCATATGCCAGTTTCAAGAAAGGATGTTGAGGAACAATTAGATATAATGGAAGAAAGGAGTGAAACGAAAGTAATGAGGGAACTGGAGTGAAAGTAGAACTATAGAAAGAAAAAGTAGGAATCATGTAAGAAAATAATTAGAAGACAATATAATCTCCTAGCAGAATGAATGAAAGAAGACTTAAAAGATAATATAGGACAGTATTTTCAAACTTGGCAACTTCAAGATGCATGGATCTCAGGACTCAGAATTCTCATGTCAGCACAAAGAAAAAATAAAAAGAACATTATTTGAAGTGATTAAAAATCAAGGTTCTGAAAAGTTAAAAGGAAGATAAAATCGGATTATTTGATCAAGGTTAAAGTAGGTATGTTATCATCTTTGGTAAGCCTTAATAGATTTTTGCTGACTAGGGCTTTAAGGATTGGTTTATGGGTAGAGGTGAGATACAGGATGAAGAGATCATCTGTTGTATTTTAAGGTAGTGACAAATTACTAACATTTTTATACTTGTGATGAAGGGGAAAGTTGTTTATTTCAAGTAAAACTGCTATCAATATCTCCCTTGAATGTTTTCTTCATTATGCTAAATATACCTAATTTCCTTAGCTGATTGTATGATTTAGTCTCGAGACCCCTTATCATCTTTGTTGCTTTTCTCTGCACTCTCTAGGGCCTCAGCATCTTTTTTGAATCATGGTAATCAGACTGGAAACAGTATTCCAAGTATGTCTCACCAGTGCAGTATAAATTGGCACTTCCCATGATATTGATGCTATCCGTCTGTTGATGCAGCCTAGAACTGCATTGAGCTTTTTGGAAGCCACAGCACATTGGTGACTCATACTTAAGCACTGATCCACCAGGACACCTAGATCCCTCTCAGTTACTAAGACTGAGCCAGGTGCCCCCTATTTTATACCTATGTGTTTTTTTCTTTCCTAAGTGTAGGATCTTACTTTTCTCACCATTTAACCTCATCTTATTGGATAGGGCTCAATGCTCACACGAGAAACTGGGACTGTGTTAGAGGGCTGGCGCTGCTAATGCCCCGCCCTCCACCCCACTCCCTGCTGATACCCAGACACCTGTTGCTCCACCCTCTGGCAGAGAGTTGCTAAGTTTGGGAATGACTTGTAAACTTTTCTGCTGCTTTCCTATTGACGTTATTTGTGAGAAGTCAGCAAGGAAGGTAGTGACCATGGCTCTCCCAAATGCCTGGATAATTAATTACCTGATCACAAGTTTCTGTGATGGCTGAAACTTCAGGGAACAGTTGTACATCCATTTTTTCAGCACTGCCACAATTTTGAATGATTATTGAACAAATGGATGTAAGCCAAGGACCATCTTTATATCAGTTATGTAAACATTTGAAAGGAGAGACTGGCACAATAGGAATATCCCTCAGCTTTCCCCAGGTGTCTTCCTCTGTGAACGCATATACAGTTTCTACACTGGTATTTTGCTACACAGAAAACTGCAGAAAACCAAAGCAAATCTGCAAATTTTCCAGTGAATATAATTGTGATGTTACAGAAACAACTATGGTAATAGCAACTTTTTAAAAAGATTCCTTTTTTAATGGACCAGAAATTAAGAGTGAAAATGGGTAGAAAATCTAACTTTGCTTCACATGAGAAAAGAGAGCATTTGTGCAAAGAACATCAGTATACCTCTCAATAGAAACATACAAAATTGGGCATACTTTGACTTAAAAAGTAGTCGTGGTATTTGTTATGCACTTCATAAACAGAAAATAAAATTACAATACAATTTATAAGGGAGGTAAATAAAAATGTAAAATGGGTTCTCTGACTTCTATAAAATTGTTCAAAAAATATTTAATTACATTGTGTACTATTTAGTTACATTGTGTAATTTATTCTCTGCTAGTCCTGGTATTAACTAAATCCATCCTGTTGATCAGGATTCTGATAACTGATGATTGGTTTAAAGATTCTAATGTTGAAATGAAAGAAATAAAATTCAGGTCTTAGCAGGGCCTTCAGAGTTATGAAGACCTCAATAAAGTAATCATAACCTTACATCTGAACATATGATCATAACCACAAGATGTGTGCACAAGTACTTTTGTAACTTCTGTACCTTATTTCTTGTAAGAAATGTTTCAGTTATGTAACTAAGAAGCCTATATATGCTTGCTTGAAATTGCATTCAGGGTTCTTCCAGTCTTATGGGAGAACCATCTTTGTTCAGCACTGTATGTGACTTAGAGAGTACCTAGCCTCTGCCTCTTTGTTCACACCAAGCCACACCTGCTCCCTGCTTGACACATTACAACTACTATAATACCCTTGTCCTCTTCACAGATTTTTAGTTTTTCATTATTCTTTTCCACTGCCTCAAAAGTTAGCTGTTATTAATAAACAGGAAATCCAAACAAAGCCTGATTTCATCTGAGGATATCAAGAATAGAAGAAAATGATCCTCCTCAACACAATGATAGTAATATGAACACTTTTTCTGATGAGAACAATTTCACAAAGTCCACAAAGTCAAAAATTTCAAATAGTTTTTTTCTATACATTTCTCCAGAATAGCATTTTCTTCAAACTTCAATGCTTCTAATGTAAGTTATACTTAAGGCAGAATCTAGAATCTTAAAAATATGAGCTTCCATTATAAATTATCTTGTCCATACTGCTGCAAATGTATCTCTGAAAAGAAGAGCTGGAAAAATCTGAAAAACCATGTAGACTGCAAATTCGATCTAATGATTTATCCATACCAAGCGTTTGCTGTACATTAAGGCTGTGCTGCTCCCACTGGAGACAGCCCATTTAGAAAAGTTCATAACATGTTCCAGTTGTTTAGAAAGTCCTGACACTTCTTGCTGCTGTTGTAGAAGCTTTGCCCGGTGTTCCTTAGCTAGACACTGCAATGAAGAAAGACAAGGTCATGATCATTTCTGCAGATCAAACCACTAAGTCACTACTCTACTTTTGTGTGTATCACATTCCATCTCTTCAAGAGAGTAGACCAGAGTCAGCTTGAACATTTTATCATTAATATTGAAAACCTTTACTATATTAATACTTAGGCAATCTTTGATTCAAAGACTATTTCCATTTTGCTTTGTATTAAAACAAATAAAAACTTATTTGAACAAAAATGCTGGGATATCATAAAGACTACCCAGTTTTATTTTAAGTTTTTATAGATAACATTTCATTTATCAGAGGAAAAATGTAAGATATTACACTTAGTCCTCGATTTATGACCATTTATTCAGAGACCATTTAAAATTACAATGGCATGGAACGAATTATGGTTATGACCACGCTCGAAATTCCAGCTGCCTGTGATCTCATGACTATGATCTGGATTCTTGGCAACTGGCTCACATTTATCACTGACTGTAACACCACATGATCAGAGGATCACTGCTTGTGATCTTCCGAACTGGCTTCCCTAGAAAGTCAATGGGGAGGAGACTAGCAGAGAAGATTGCAAATCCCTAATATTAAGTCTCACCTACCAATTCTGAAATCTTCCAAAATGAATTATTTTTTTATTTTTAAGTATTTTAATAAAATATGATATACCCAGATTTTTTTAGTCGTACATAATATAAACATCACGTACTTTGCACTAAAGACCACTTTAATAGTGGCCCTTGGGAGAATAAAACCTACCTCAAGCTGATGCAGCAGAGCTTTTCCCTTTTTGTTTATTTCTACCATCAATGTGAAAATAGCAACTTTAACATCTTGTTCTACCAGTTTTTGATTCCGATTCACTTCATGGATTCTATAAAACGTAGAAAGACTATTTAGTATAACAGTATCACTGATCACAATTTGTGATGTTGCCGATGTTTAGATCTTGATATTGTGCAGCAGCATATAATTAAGATTAAATCTTCAAGCTTAATTTCTGATGACTTCTGCATATATTTAATTTTCTTGGCAACAATATGGAAGTACTTTACCACTGCCTCCTTTAAAATATCTTTTTCAATTTTCCAATGTAGTCTGTCTTTCCCATCTAATTATTAACCAGTTCGAATCCTGATTACCTTTCAAAATCAACCAAGGTTGCTCAAATGCTACCTCCCTATACATAATTTGTACATTTCAAAACAAATACAACACAAGTTATATGCAGCACAATGTTCTTGTTTTTGTCATTTTTCTTGATGTCAAGACTATGTTTAACAAGAGACCAAAGTGCAATATGTACGTACTGTACATATCTGGGATGTCATGGCAGTGTGGTTTGTTCAACATAGGAATTTAAATAAAACATAGGTATTTAAATCTTTCTATCTGTATGCGTGTATGTATATGCACACCCAAATACACAACTGGGGTGTGTTTGCATTTATAAATATATAAACCAAACATAGATTTTTGCTAAAATAGATAATTGCTAAAAGGCATTCTAACATTAGTTTATTTCTTTAAGTTTCAAAAAAACACTGAAAGACTCTGGAGTTATTAAAGCAGCTAATAACTGTCAAAACCTAGTGCATGTAGCCCTGGCATCTTAGCTCTTTCATTATTCTCAGATTCTTTTTAAAATACTATGGTAATAGGTGCAGAAACAGGTTCACAGAGAATGTGGACTCATACCATTGTTTTGCTTAGGAAAATGTAATACTATATTACATTTTCTATATACTATTATATATATATTAAATTTTCTATATACTATTATATAAATACTATATATAATATTTAATACTATATTAAAATAATATATGCAAAAGCTACTGCACCTACTTACTGTGACATAATAGACCCCCATCTCCATCATGCCTGATTAAAATTATTACCCAAGAGTGCTGTGCAGTTAGCTGACTTTTATAACTAGAAGGAAAAATGGAAGGTATCTAATAGATATTCAGGGAAATGTTTCAAAATAAACCAAAGAGGAATAGGAGAGTAAATTTTATCACTGATGGGTTACAAGAGTAGAATGAAAAGCAATGCCTCCAGGGGTATAAGTCACCAACAGTATTGACATGCTAGAAGCTCTGATGCATTATTTAGCATCATTCACTTTAATTGGCATTAAGGTGCTCCTAGAAAAGGTGATGTTACTATGCTTATGAAATGGAAGTCTGCAGTGAGGGTACTTTAAGCAGCACATCATGATTGAATTTTTGACTGTTGAATGAGTCTTTTCATTTGAAATTCACCACCAAACCAGGCTGTTTATGGTGATGACTATTGATGGGAGCACTGACCAAAAAATGTAAAGATGGTGAATCAAGAAGAGATGATTTGTGCCATGAAAAGTAGACGACTTGTGACAGCCACGGCTGAGCTTCACACAAGAAATGTTGATTAACTGATTAAGGAAAATTGGTAGATCACTTGAAAGGAACTTGCTGCTAAGCTTGCCATTTCATAGGAACATTATTTATGTTCTTCTCTTCAATATCAGAAGGATTGTACAAGATGCTCCTCACATGCTTATGGCAGAAATGAAACATTCAAGAATTGAAATTTGTTGGCAATTATTGCCATACTGTAAGAATGAAATTGAGAAATTTCTTCATAGAATAGGGTAGATTATTATGACCCAGAAATGAAGCATCAGTCTACAAACATCATCACTAAGTTTCACCTGTGGAAGAAAAATTCAAAAACTAGGCTTTGGCAGGAAAACTCATGATTATAGTTTTTTAGGATGCAGATGGTGTTATTCACATTGTCTACTGGAACCAGACATCACTATGAACTCAGAGTACTATAATTGATACTCAAAACTTTGAAACAATGATTAAGCAGAGTTCAGAAGCAGAAGAATGAAATTTCTCTGTAACATGACCACAGTAGGCTTCACATCACAAGCCACCCGAGGCAATTGCGAACTTGGATCAGATTGTCTTACCCTGTCTGCCATACACTCCAGACTTGGTGCCATCTGACTTCTACCTTTTCCCAAAAATAGTTTGTGGGCATCTATTTGACTCAAATGAAGATTTGGAAAGGACTGTCAGGACCTGGTTAAAGAGACAAAGTGTGGAGTTCTTTCATGATGGCTTTAAGAAGTTTGTCCATTGTTGGGAGAAGTGTGTAGTAAATGGTGGAGGTTGTGTGAAGAAGTAAATATAGGCAAAGAGCTCATTTCCTGGAATATTTTCATGTTTAATTTATTAGAATACTATTAAACTAAAATTATGGAGATAAAGGCATTACTTTTCATTCAACCCTCAGTTTTCTTTTTTTTAAATATCTGGGCAGGCTTATAACACAACAGTTCCTCTCCTCCATAATCTCTTCTTGATTATAATATTAATCAAACCATGCAAACTCCAAGTTATCCCTTCTGCCAAAAATTATTACATTTTAGGTAGCATGATTTAGGGTAGGAATTCTGTTTTTTCTTTCACTGTGTCCATTGCATTCATCTTGCTTATAAATAATCTGCAGATATTTACTTAGCCACTGTAGGAAAAGATTTATGCTTTGTTCTGATTAACTGCCATTTTTATATTATTAAAACATACTTAGGAATAATTACATTCAAAGTCTTCCAAGTTCAAAGTTATCTTACTCTGATTCTCTTTTATGCATTTTCATGTGCATATATTAAACTCATTATTCTACATGTCAAATTTAGAGGGGTAAAAACTAAATGAATCTAATTAGTAGGAATAAAACTTCATTTCAAACATGAAAAAGAAGCTAATTGAGATATTAAAATAATGTTTAATATTGCAAAATAAAACTCAATACCTATTTTGAATCTGCTCCCCTGTATATTTTATATACTTGCTTTTTTCCATCAGTTTTGTAATAAGAGTGTCAATTATTACTTTTTGATTCTGAAAGGCTTCTTCTATAAACTGGTATCTGCAAAGTAGAAAAGAAAACAGAAGTATGTACTATGTTTACATTAGGTGTCTTTTAAAAATACATAGTCCAAAACTGAATAGAGGAAAAAAAGAAAAAAATCAAAAGATATAAATATAATCATGATAACCTCTATAAATCATGTCAAATTATACATTAACTCCAAAGCAAACCAGATTAAAAAAAAAAACTGGCTAGCCTGTATCTTGCAACTCATACTTTTCTAATAGACTCTTATTAGCTCTTTCTCCAACTTTGCCTTTTTTCTTGTCAGATATATTCATTTTAATACCTGTGTTCTTTGTGCTCCAGCAACTGACAATCCCGACATGTCAATTTGTCACAAGTTTCACAATAGAGTTTCAATTGCTCCTTTTTGTGGTAAGGGCAGAACACGGGTCTTTGATTGGTTACACCAACAGCTTCTGTTAAAAAAGAAAAAGGGGAAAAAGTCTGATGGATAGGAATTAACTGTTATAGACCTGGACTAAAACTGAAAGTTAACTCAACTAATACAATTTTGCCCCTTTTACAGTCTAGAAGCAAGGCAA